AAATATTTGTTTGGTGCTTTCTCAATGCCTTCCAGAGATCAGAGGTAGAATTCCAGTCGTGGCCAAATCGCAATGGCAATGTTTACTCGCTGACATGCGCAAAGCAAAATCGGTCTCCTTTTTGACGACTTCGGCACTCACGATCCCTACTTGAAATTCAACGATTCGGGCGTTGTAGGTCAGAGTCGAGCTCATTAGAAGCTCAAAGATCAGAAACCCTTGGCCAGTAAGAACGAGAAACGAAACGTTGGGAACGAGAACTCATAGATGTCGATGGTGATTACTGTCTCCAATAGTTGCCATAAAGTATCTTGAAATAAAAAATGCAAAGAACGGTTGCAAGGTTTCTGATAGAACTACTCGACGATGTTTTTGAGCGATCAGTCAGGTAATTCTCGAGTTTTTCGACAAAAAGACTAGTTCGGGTAACCGTTGTGGCTAGATTTTTCTTGCACTTCATAGCCTTCATAGTGGCCAGAGTATTTCTAGGTTATTATGAGGATACTGATAGGCAGTGATAGTGAGTGTTAACAGGTGATAAACAGCGATAAAGGCATCGATTTATGGGAGTGCCATCATTTTCGCTACACCCTCTCCTTCTATTTCTAGTGGGGTTCACCTTTCGATGAAAAAGGTGACAGAATGAGGACATGGATGGTGAAATGCAAAAAGTGATAATGATTGATAAGAGCAGATAAGAGGCAATAACAAGAGAGCATGTCGATATAGAGTATACGGTCCTTAAGAGTACAATTCAAGTTCCTCCGCTTGAGCGCAAGAAGCTGGGTAAGCAAGGGTTCACCTTTCTTCGGATAACAGTTTCCCATGAACTCGACCCCCTCTCCCTGAATGGCAAAACACGATTCTCTACCGCTGATTCACTTGATCCATTCCACAAAATCATTTTTGCAATTTCCTGAGACCAAAATTATGAAATGGGGATTACATCCCCGTCATACGGTCATTAGATAATCACTGTTAACCCACCCCATCTCAGATATGCTTGTCGCTATGACGACTGCTCCAGATGAGGATTCACCTCGTGTCGTGCTCAACAAGATCGCGTGTTCCAAATCCTCCGGTCCAGCCCCTTGATTAAAGCTGGGCTGAGAGCGATACAGCTGCTACCTCGAATCATCCAGTAGGTGAAATTACCTGAGTCCGCTGTTTCGTGACCTAGATTCTGGCCAGGTGTTCTCTTTCTTTCTATAAGCTATTCAGATATGGGAAGAAATAAGTTCCATCTCAGAAAAGGATATTTAACCTCTTCTTGGTTTCGATTTATCAATTTCCTAGTGGATTCGTCTACATCCCCCATTCCTCCTGAAATGATCTTCCTTTCAGAATTAATTTCTTACTGACACCTGTATACTCTACCTATTAACCTCTATACCCCTCCAACGTGAAAACTTCGCTGGAAATAGCCTTTACGAATGGAAAACGCCATGACCCTTCGACTGTCGAGGTTGGCACTGCGTGAAACAAAAAGTGTTGTACGCAACTTGCACAGCTATGCTGTAAATTACGCGTTGCTGCTGTTGGTTTTTGTTTGTATTTTGCTTTCTTCCTAATTACTACTGCCTTCCTGGTGTCGATGTTCTTTAGCAAAGCCTGTTATTCTACTATGTACAAATTCTATTCAGTGTTCACGAGTGTTAAGTGGCTGTTAGTAAAGGTATGGGACACTGAACCGTATAGGTAGCCCTCTTTTCCCATTTCTTCTCTTTTAAGAGCGACCTCATCCCACGCCATTCGCAGATTCTAGAGCCCCGTGAACGTGTGATGCACCCCCCCCCCTCTTGTTGCTCGTATATATAGGCTATTGAGGCGTTTCAGTGTGTCTTCAGGTTAGTGTAGCTTTTGCGCTGCCTCATAACCGGTTGTTATGTAGGTGTCGTTTACTTGACCCTTCTATTCCCTCATATTCGCTCACTGATACGATCTTTCCTAAGATTCGTCGCAACTGTTCCATAACCCCTTACGGACGTTTGATCACTCTATTAGGTTTCGTATTCGTTTTTGGAACCATTACGTCTTCCAAATCGCTTAGTGAAGCATCTATGTGTCTCAGTGCTTTCCCTTCAAGTTATTCCGAACTCTGGAATGCGCCTTAGATTCTTTGAAAGGAGATGATTTGAGCTCGACTCTGATTTAACAAATTTTCCTTAGCTCGCAGTTGTCTAACTGAAAATGAAAAACTCCACCTGATGAAGAAGTGGCGATGTTAGGTAACTTGGACCAGTACAATTAGAGGTAAGGTTACCGCGAGAGCATGCCTACCATGTAGTTGTATAAGCCCAGCGGATTTACTATGCAGAATCAGAGGTAGGGAATCTGAAAAAGGCAAATGTTGCTCCCGTAGAGTTCCAAAAAAGATGTTACTCCTTCCCCAAAAAAATTGCAAGACCTATGGAAAGCCACTGAAATTGATTTTGAGAAGCTGCAGAGTACTCAAAGAGGATCCGGAAGACACAGTTTTTCCATATCTGACTAGGGGAAGTGCTGCATTAGGCCCTTTAGAGCAGCGACCGTTCCACTGGACTATTCCAACACTTCTCTTCCTCTGGATCGGATACGTTGACATCCGTACCAAGGCGGATCAGTTTTTCGAACTGATATAGATTTCGAGATGGGCCTCTTTCAAAGAATGCTTCTTTATTCTCAATTCTTCAGTTTCGTCTAAGTTTTGGCAACTACTCCGATAGGTTTTTGTAGGATTGATACTTCTATGTTACCCTCCCATGCACAACAGATCACATCTCTTCAAAGTTCAATTTCAATCTCGTTTCAGTGAAAGGCCTTCTATGCATCAATTTGAACTCATCTCTTTACTCTTTTGATGTCATCCTAACGATTAAACTTCCTCTATGTGAATTCTCTTCTACGCAGTATCCAACATTTTTCAGGGCCTTATTTGAGGCGTGAACTCATCATGGAGAAACAAAAAGAACTCCTCGCAGGAATAGAAGCCATCATGGAGAAACAAAAAAGACTCTTCGCAGCCATAGAAGCTAGTATGTGATATTTTCTCTCATTTTGAGCCAGACCTTTTACTCAAGCTTGGATTTGTCCACTTCTGCAATGAAGCCTATCCGGAATTCAGAGGACTTCGAGAAGGCTGCCGTTTTGATCAGAAGTGGCATTGATATTAATTGTCATGATACTACAGGAATGACTCCCCTCGCCGCATCTGCGTATAGGTAAGCCTTTTAAGATTGCCTTCAAGGTTCCAATTTGTAATACTAAGGTTCCAATTTGTAATACTTTACTTATTGCTTTTATTTTTGGTTCGAAAATGAGAGGAGGCGGGCTGAGGAAAAATTGTGTGGTCAGAGGTCGTAAATCTATTTCAATTCGTGTTCTAAACTGTTAAATGTGACTTTTGGATATATTTAGATCTCATGACTTTTAGAACGATTGTTGACTCTCAGAATCAGTATAGAACAGATAATTATTTCAGAGGCTCTTTACCTCTAGTTCAATTATGCATAGAGAAAGGAGCTAACGTCAATGACAAGGATCACAAGCAAGGCTATACTCCACTTATGTTTGCAGCTCTTTCTGGTAGTTTTTTTTCGCCTTCCCAACTTCATAACATATTTCTCTCCATGAAAAACGTATCTAATGGGAGGGACACCTTTGATAATGAAAGGTAATTACATACTTGATCAGGTAAGCGAAACCTAACGCAGATGTTGACCTATGCAAGTTTTTGTATGGGCAAATACTCGTTCCAAGCTTACATTGATGACTGTTGGCACAAGTTTCTTATTTAACACTTTTCATTCAACATTCAACTTTTAAGGAACTTAGTTGAAAGGGTACAACCGAACACATGACCTTTTTTAGTTCATTTTATGATCGCTTCTCTTTAAGGGAAACCCGACATCTGCAAATATTTAATGGATCAAGGCGCCCGCTCTTACTTAACCAATTCAATCGGGAAAACTGCTTGTGAGCTCGCAGCCTTTGTTGGTGAGGTGGTCTCCATCGATGATTACCAGTTTTATTTGGTGACACATGGAACTCCGCATTTCCAGGGCAACATGAATGCGTTTCGATCATCAACAATCATGTAAGTATAGATGAAATCGAAAAGTTTCTCTCTCCTCACGTCGAATCTGGCCCAGTGGAGACATATCCGGAACATCTTTCTCGTTTCATACACAAAATATGTAGCTGGCATCAGGTACGGCTTTTTTGTTCCTGTTTTTTTTT